AAGTTAATAAGGGATTGTCGTTTAATTAGAAAAGCATAGCTTAATCAAAGGTCCTGTGAGCAAAACAAATGCATTATGAGGTAAATCTCCAAGATTTTACTTTCCCATAAACATTTTAGCCATCAGAGAAATCTCCTGCTGTTGCCTTGCATCATACTTTTGTTAAATGAAAGGGTTTAGCAGAATCATAACAAGACTTTAATATTGTTAATATATAAAGCCTAAACATTAAGGAATACATCTAAAAAACAATGAAATATATTACAGCAGTTACCAGCACCACCAGAGCAAACCCGATAATACAAATTGTAATACACTCCGAGGAACACTCCAATGTGTAAACTGTCCTCACCTGAAAACACCAGATCAGAAAATGTTCATATGGGTCCTTTTAAGACAATGACCTATTTTGTCATTGAGGTATGAGGACTTGTCATCCCATATCCTCTACTTTGTGGAAAAGAAGTTACTCAGAGCTGCAGTTAGCCTTTTAGCAACATTTGTAATATTGTTTAAAGGAAACTATACTCAATAACAGAAATAACATGGTCTTGGTCATGGTCTTGTATCGGTTTACAGGGTTTGTTTAAAGGAAAAGGTTGGATTTATCTTTTTTTCTGTCAACAAATCCCATGAAAAGTCACTTCCCCACTCTGTCTGTGACACTCGGCTCCAAGCCTACTCTTTTCTATTTAAGATGCAAATCTTTAAAAATGGCTATATCAGCTTCTTTTAATAATAAAAGTTTAGTTTTTTTCCTAAACCGCTGGGAAACATAATTTTAAGCAAACCTTACTAGAGCAGGAGTAAACAGCACATTTGTTGGGGACTATTTTCAGGTGCTTGTTGAATGCATTTTACTCCTTTAAAACATTTACATTTTCTATAAACTCTATGTATACTTAAATTTGTCCATTTCTATGTTAAAGACCCCATGGTTAGAAAAGACAATAAAGACCCCACAAAATAGCATTTTAAGTTTTGTCTGTGACGTATCCCGCCTTCATTTAGAACAGTGGACAGCTATTCAAAGCTGTTTACTTGTATTGGCAGAGGTTCTTATGGTATAGTTGCGTATCAACCAACACAGTGGATGCTAGTGCGTCATGCCATATACTGCCACTCTCTGGTAAGCCATTGTAAGTGCAACTTAAATTTTAAAAAAAAATAAAAATTTGGTAACATCTAGTAACAACTAAGGAGTAATACAATTGTTAAACTTTCCAAGTATTGATTTTATGTTTGGAGGAAATTATCATTAATCATCTGTCCACTAAACTGGACATTATGCATCTCTGGCTATATTTCAACTACAATTAATTATTACTGAGACTTTATTTTTCTTAAAATACGTCATGTGCAATAACTTTTCTGGATGTAAATCAATGTAAAACTTGCAGTTTTTGTAACAAAAACAATATTTTGTGCAGATTAGTTCCATTATGTGAGTAACATTTAGTGTCTATATTTTTTGTAGTGAGTAATATAAAGGCATTCAGGATAGTGGAGCAAATTCGATCAGAATCAAGTAATGATGAATGGCTGCCAGAAATAGGAGAATCACCAAATGCTAGCAGCAGTGATAGTGGAGCTGAGGATGCTGAGGAAGAGAGAGTCTGAGAATTCCGAGGTGAGTTTAAATTTTTCTGCATTGCATTAAACAGTATTAGAATATGTTAAAATATGTGACCACATTAGTTTAACAGCATTAAAAATATAGTTTTCACATACTATATCATATAATTCATTGGTTTGTTAATTACATATTTCTTCAGTTGAAAACTTATGCGAATGTTGTCCATGTAAAAAAATTCCTTGAAAATGTTTATTTAGAAAAAAATAATCTAATTTTCTTGTTCCTGCCTAAAGAGCAATAAAAACACACAGGAAAAAAATCCTGACAGAGGCTGTCATAATTGATGCATGAAAGGGTTTACAGCTATGTTACTACAGTTAAAGGACAAGGTTTTAAGAACAAGCAACGTCTCACGTGAGTTGTGACTTTAATATCTGTGTCGAGCTCAGAGTTTAAAAAACTAAGTCCCCCGACTACTGTAAGCACTGAGAGACATATTGAATATCTGTTACCTTGAATTTGTCAACTTCAGTCTTGGAGCAAGTGGCATGGTAAGAAAGAACCTGCAAAATAATGACACAGTATCACTGTATTTTTCAAATCATTAAAATAACCAGTAGGGCTCTAGGAGATGCACAACTGTGGCTACGGCTTGAAAATACTGCACACTTCCAGATGAGGTTAACACTCGCCCCTAGAACAATCTACAAGAGCAGCAATGTCAGCCCTGATTCCATCGCCATGTTCCCTTCATTTCCTGAGAGAAATACCACGCACAAACCTGCAGTTGCTTATTTGATCATAAACGCTCATGTTTATTCAGTGCTGCCAGAAGCAATGCATCTACATATTAGTTCATTCTGTGCCTCTCCTTTAAATGCTCTATCTCTCAATTTTCTGCTTCTCCTATCTTGAAACCAAGTAGTGCTAACTACTATGCACCTGAAAGCTCCCTGTTGTAATCTAAGGACATACTGCAAAGGCTGACTAGTGCTGAATGGCTACATACTGCAAGGCAGATGAGGGATTGCTTTTCTCTGCCTCTCATTAATTTTCAATAAAACCTTTGTGAGAAGGTTATCTACAAAGAGAGATCAGCACTTTTCTTTCCATGTGTACATTCTTGTGGAAATATGAGACTAAAAAAGGAGCCAAGCACAAAGACCCCTGAGAGAATAAGTAAGAAGAGTTTTTATATAGCCATGCAACAGCCGTTGTTTACACTGACTTCTGGGTCAATGGTTCAGCACAGAGCATATGTTGACTGGAAAAAAATAAAGATACCATTATAGCTAATGGAATAGAAGAACAGACAGGACACACAAGGAAAAATCATCCGAGGGAGGGCACGAGGCTAACATAAACACAATGAGCATGCAGGCACGACAAAAGGAAACTAAAAAGTATAAAGCAGGAGCAGTGCAGAATCAACTTGAGTCAACACTCTGGAGCTGCACAGTTTGCATAGTAATGTTTTTGCAAATGTAAGCGGATAAAAAGATTTATTGTTCTAAACATGGAAGAAATTGCTTATTTTCATTCCCAAATTTGGATATGAGGCAGGGAATCAAATGGGATGTTGTTTTCTTACATCCAAAGCCACAGACTGCTTGGCCCAGGACTTCTTCACCTGGTCGTACATGATGGTGTTGTTGATGCCCAGTCCGCAAAAGATCACAAACGCCTAAGAAAAGAATAAAAAAGCAGACATACTCAAGGGCAGAACTTATAGGCTACTGTATGTTGAAAAGATATAGAAGCAAGTGTAATACCTCGAAGAGACGCTGGTCTGCGTCATCGAAGGGTTGCCCATCGAGCCTGTTCAGCACTTGGGCGACACCTGTTACACAGAGCCAGTTTAGCCATACAATAACAACTTAACAGCGATATTTGATATTAGCACAGCTCCAGTGCATATAACATGCCTCCAATTAAAAGAGGATCAAATCTACTCTCTCCATGTTATTGACTAACAGGCATTATTAATGGAAATTAAGTAGGGACACAACATCCTACGGCATTAATAGCAGTATATTCAGATATTCTACAACAGTAATATTTGTTGTGTCAAACTTTATTAAAAACGTGTAGACTTGATGAAAACAGTTTTGGTGAACCATAAAACACATTTATTATAATGACACATAGATGTACAAAAGCACTGGTGAAAGTGGCATTTAATTAATGTTATCTTTGATAGGACATCCAGTTTTTGTCTACAATGCAGCAGTGGGATTGAAGCCTTTTTTATTTGACAGCAGTACTCCTTGTTTAGATGGCTTCTCTCATCATCTAATTAAAAACAGAGACGCTTTGATGATAAAGAATAAACATTTAATTGATAAATACTGACTTATTGCCACTGAGAAATTATGCAAAAAAGTAATTACACACTACATTATCATTTTTAGTTCTCTCTACGAGGTCAAACAAACCTGCTAAAGTGACATTTTAATTTCAATGTATAGCTGGAGATCCACAGAGGTGAAACAGGATTAGTACTGTAGCTAAGAACACATTTCATTACGGTGTCATTAACTTTAAAATACAGGACTGATGTCTTCTCAGATCTAGTATTGCTCCCTCTGTAATGAGCATATCATTTGTGATGAGTTGCAGCATAGCTGGCCCCAAGCATAAGCCAGGGGCATGGTCAAATATTGCTTAGGGCCTCACATAGACCAACAATCTCAGCACTACGTTAACTCACTATATCAAACAACCAAGCTAAACTCAAAGTTAATCTTCATACAGTAGCTGTTAATCATAATGGGACATGTAGTTTGCACATAAAGTCATAGGAATGGCTTAAAAGCTAATTGATAAATACTGACTTATTGCCACTGAGAAATTATGCACGAGATAACCTATGAAGCAATTTAGTCTGTCTCTTGCCACTTCCCCACTCTGTCTGTGACATTTGGCTCCAAGCCTACTCTTTCCTACTTAAGACGCAAATCTTTAAATATGGCCATATCAGCTTTGTTTTAATAAAAAAGCGGCCTAGCAGCCTTCTTCCCTGTTTTTGTTGGGGCATTGCTTGTTAAAGACCCCATAGTTAGAAAAGACAATAAAGACCCCACAAAATAGCATTTTAAGTTTTGTCTGTGACGTATCCCGCCTTCATTTAGAACAGTGGACAGCTATTCAAAAGCTGTTTACTTGTATTGGCAGAGGTTCTTATGGTGTAGTTGCACATCAGCCAACACAGTGGACGCTAGTGCGTCATGCCATACACTGCCACCCTCTGGTAAGCCGTTGTAAGTGCAACTTAAATTCGTCAAAACCAAGATGGCCAATGGACGATCAGAAATGCTGAGCAGCTCAGGTAAATCTTGCCACTCCTTCAATTACAGGAGACCCCTGCAGGTAAATAAAATTTGGTATCATCTAGTAACAACTAAGGAGTAATTCAATTGTTAAACTTTCCAAGTCCAATGGTACCCTGCCCTATTTTGAGTGACCAGCACAGGCTGAACATTGGCTTGAAAATCAGCGGTCACAACCAAACTGTGGTATAATCGCGCTTTGGTAGTGTTCCCGGCCTGAGGCAGTTCAGTTAAATTATTAATGTATTTATTTGGAAGTTACCTAAGTTATGTAATGGACAAAGTGGCTATTCAGGCTAGCAAAATGCTTTTTATAATCTTGGGTAACTAAAACCTTGTATTAGCATCTACTGTTAATAAAGTAACTTTCATTGCATGTTGCTAACATCAGCATTAATGTAATTTACTGTTATTTGGTATTAAACATTAAAATTATTGTTATAGTCAGTAACAGAGCACAGAGACAGCACTGGTGAAAATTACTAATGACCTCCTTATTGCATCAGACAAAGGACTTGTCTCTGTACTGGTTTTATTAGATCTTAGTGCTGCATTTGATACCATTGACCATCAGATCCTATTGCAGAGACTGGAATATTTCATTGGCATTAAAGGAACTGCTCTGAGCTGGTTTAAGTCCTATTTATCAGATCGATTTTAGTTTGTACATGTTAACGAAGAGTCCTCCATGCATGCCAAAGTTAGTCATGGAGTTCCTCAAGGATCTGTCCTCGGACCAATCCTCTTCACTTTATATATGCTTCCTTTAGGCAATATTATCAGGAAACATTCCATAAGCTTTCATTGTTATGCAGATGATACTCAGTTATATCTATCGATCAAGCCAGATGAAACTCATCAGTTAGCTAAACTTCAAAAGTGCCTTCAGGATGATAAAACCTGGATGACCTGTAATTTTCTCATGTTAAACTCAGATAAAACTGAAGTTATTGCTCTGGGGCCTAAGCACCTCCGTGACGCATTATCTAAAGATATAGTTTCCCTGGATGGCATCGCCCTGGTCACCAGCACCACTGTGAGGAATCTTGGAGTTATCTTTGATCAGAACATGTCGTTTAAGTCTCACATAAGCAAATTTCAAGGACCGCCTTTTTTCACCTACGTAATATTGCGAAAATCAGGAACATCCTGTCTAAAAATGATGCAGAAAAACTAGTCCATGCATTTGTTACTTCTAGGCTGGATTACTGCAATTCCTTATTATCAGGCTGCTCGAAAAAGTCCATTAAGACTCTTCAGCTGATCCAGAATGCTGCAGCACATGTTCTGACAGGAACCAGGAAAAGAGATCACATTTCTCCTGTTTTAGCTTCTTTGCATTGGCTTCCAGTAAAATCCAGAATAGAATTTAAAATCATTCTTCTTACCTACAAAGCTCTTAATGGTCAGGCACCATCTTATCTTAAAGAGCTCATAGTACCTTACTACCCCACCAGAGCACTGCGCTCCCAGAATGCAGGGTTACTTGTGGTTCCTAGAGTCTCCAAAAGTAGACTAGGAGCCAGAGCGTTCAGCTATCAAGCTCCTCTCCTGTGGAACCAGGTTCCAGTTTGGGTTCAGGAGGCAGACACCATCTCCACATTTAAGAGTAGGCTTAAGACTTTCCTCTTTGATAAAGCTTATAGTTAGGACTGGCTCAGGTGAGTCCTGAACCATCCCTTAGTTATGCTGCTATAGGCCTAGACTGCTGGGGATTTCCCATGATGCACTGAGCTCCTCTCTCCTCTACTTTCTCTCCCTCTGTATGCAACCTCATCCCATTATTGCATGTTACTAACACAACTTCTCCCCTTTCTGGTAGTCTTGTGCTTTCTCGTCTCTCTCCTCTCTCCTCCTATCACTTCCTGCAGGTTTTCTGGCTCTGGAGCTGTGGAGTCTGGATCTGTGGTTGCGGGTCACCTGCTGCCCCCGTGTTCCTGCTCGACACCCTCTGTTGCAACGACTATTGTTGCTAGTTTTATTGTTATTATTGTTATTATAATCATTAAGATTACGATTGTTACCATTAACACTATTATAAATATCTGTACCATTTTTCATTTAGTCTATAGCAACATCACCTTCACTGTCTGTACCTCTGTGTGTATATTGTGTAGGCTGCCTCCCTCCCCTCTCTCTCTCCTTACATCCCTCTCTTTTTCTCTCTATTCCTCTCCTGCTCTCTCTCTCTCTCTCTCTCTCTCTCTCTCTCTCTCTCTCTCTCTCAGTCTCTCCCCCTCTCTCTCTCTCCTTCACCCCCAACCGGTCGAGGCAGATGGCCGCCCACCCTGAGCCATGGTTCTGCTCGAGGTTTCTGCCTCTTAAAAGGAAGTTTTTCCTTGCCTCTGTCGCCTAGTGCTTGCTCTTGGTGGGAACTGTTGGGCTTCTGTAAATATCATCACAGAGTACGGTCTAGACCTGCTCTTTTATGAAAAGCGCTGTGAGATAACTGATGTTGTGATTTGGCACTATATAAATAAAATTGAATTGAATTGAATTGAAGTAACAGTATTCTATCTACCTTGGCAGGTGATGCTGCAATGCTGATGAGGACATATCACTGTCAGGGAGATCTCTCTGTATTTACAGTATACCGTGTCTGTGGTGACATTCCCACACTGGCGACCCAGTAGTGATGTGTTAATGCCAACCAGCAATGATTGGTTTGCCGGAGCTGAAGGTGGGAGCAACGTGGCGACCGCAGCAACTCATTATGGCAGAGCTTATACGTCAAAACCATGTCAACAAAGCGTGTAATTACTCTCACTGTCAGAAGGGGGAGACAAAAGTTCTGCACTCCAGGTTTAATGTATCCTTTGCTTGAGAATTTCATCTCCTGCTGCGTTGTTTAGATAATGTTTTTTTCACTCTAGATCTTCAGGTGCCACCCACACACTGAATTTTTCTCTCTCCCCTCACTCTTTCTGTTTTTTTTCCTTTTCCCTCTCCCCTCACTTACAAATGCACTTACACCTACGCAAAAAAAACCCCAAAAAAACAAACATCACACACACACACAGTCTTAACCAACCATCTGCGGCGGATATGCTGATCACTTTGCACTCAAATAAAACTAATGACTTCCTGCGTCAGATCTCAATGGACCAAGTGGAGCTGGTATCATCGCTCCTCCTTGCCTGCAATATCCAGCTCCAAAACCAGATGAGAGATCAATGATTTATCAGAGTGTCAGTGTGGTGTTGGCCTGGGGGCTGATTCACAAACACAAAGCACACAGCTAGAAGAAGGGAACTCCACCTCCAAGTGTGGAGTGATGGCGCAGCATGGATTTAATCACCCACATGAAGCCTCAGCTGAACACATGCTCAAGCTCCCCTCATACCTATTGTCTACTATGCAGCAAAAATGGGGAGGGGGGGCTACATTATGACTGCATGCAAATGCCATATGATTTTATTGCTGAATATGTTCCTGCATCATAGTTACGCTATGTGGCCAAAGGTATGTGGACATCCTTTTCTTTTGGTTAGAGGCAGTTTTTTAAGCTAGTCCCATTAGTTCCAATGAAGGTGGCTCTTAATGCTACATCATACAATGATATATTAGGTCATCATGAGCTTCCAACTTAGTAGCAACAGTTAGGGGAAGGTACTGTTATTTCACTAAGAACAGTCCATAAAGAATGTGTTTCCTCAGTTTGGTGTGGAAGAACTTGACTGACCTGCACATAGACTGACCTCGACATCCAACACCTCTGGGAAGAACTGGGGTGCCAACTGCAAGCCAGGCCTTATCGCCCAACCACAGTGCCTGACCGCACTAATGCTCTTGTGGGTGAATGGGATCAAATCCCTGCAGCCAGGTTCCCAAATCTTGTGGAAGCCATCCCCGAAGGGCAGAGACTGATATATAGCATATTAATGTCCATGTTTTTTAAATTAGATAATGACATGGGTATAATGGTCAGGTATCCACATAGTTTTGGCCATATAGTGTATTACTCTGACTTTAACACCCTTGTATATGCAACATTAAAAAGTGACACATCAAATAAGTTAAAAGTGGTCATATTATGCTCATTTTGGGGGTTGTACCAGAATAGGTTTACATGGTTTGATTTTCAAAAACACATTTGCTGTCAGGCTGCACATTGCTGTGGCACCTCTTTTCACCCTGTGTGTTGAACGCTCCATTTTAGATACTGAGTGAGGCATCTCACTTCTATAAGATCTCTGTTGGGAGTTGCACATATGCAGTACCTAGGACTACTAGACAATCAGAAGCAGAGTTGGGCAGGTCCTGACAAGCAAGGTAGTGTGATCCAAAACAAATTCACTTGAGCTGTGTATGACACAACACGAACCAGCTTCGCAAAATAGACTGGAAGTGGTAAGTTTAAAAAAAAGATATATTACACATTAAAGAGAGGGAAAAGCCAAAAAGCATAATATGACCTCTTTAAGAGAAGAGGAAGCTCCATTTGGTAACTTACCTATGATTTGGTGGTTGCTGTTCCATATGGGAACACAAAGTACGGAGCGGATGTGGAAGTCTGAGAACTGGTCTGCCTGAAAAGAGTGGGAGTGTATAGTATAAAATGAGGACTACCATCCATCTGCATTAATTGGCAAATTAATCAGTTACAAAAATAATATTCAGTTGCAGCCCTCCTTGTTTACTTGTTCTTAAAGCTGCTATTTTAATATTTAAATCATAATTTTGGTCAGTTTAAACTGTATTTTATTTAGAAACTATCTGCTTTGTATTACCAAAGCATTAAGCTACAAAGATAGGAGCTGTGGGATGCAGTGTACAGTAAGAAATTTAAAGGCCCTTTAAAAGCTAGACGCAGCAAGTTGCAGCCTCTATTCGTTTATACGTTTATGTCACTGCTGTTTAAAGTTGACCATGTCAACTTTTGCTGCTTCCAGCCGGATGCAGAGTGGACTGCTGTGCTAGCCGCTGTGGGATTCTGTTTAGATCAATGCAGCATCAGCACACACCGCTGCGGTTTCCGCTTTCTGGTTTGAAAGGGTCTTTATCATACAGAGATCAATTAACAGCTGACAAAAAGGAAAATGTGTGTATGTAATTTCTCACCATGTGCAAATAAAACAAGATTTAATGCTCGTTATAATAAAAGTACAAAGTCAAAGGCAACTGGACTTTATGTTTGGTCTTGAAGAAATTTCCAAGAGGCTTTTTCGGTCCTACTGACTCTTAGCCATTTAAATCTGAGTGTATCTTCACACCTCGGCAGCAGATGCATATTCATGACTAAAATGCATGCGCACACACAGAAATATTCATATGCATTCTTTTCATCAAGATTTATAAAGCAGCTTGTTTTATACATCTCAGTCAAGGTGGAACTGAACGCACGTGCACAACAAGTAAGTTAAGTAGAAATGAATGTAGAAACAGCCTTAAACATCCGTTTGCATATCAGTATGTTCATATGATACATCCTGCCCCTGGATGAATCATGTGTGAGCATTAAGGTCACACGACAATCAAGTGAGAGATCAGAGTCCAGTTCATTAAGGTGTAAATGGTTTTGAAACCATGTTGGGAGAGCAACATAACTGATAAACAGCTCAAGGATGGATGTTACAGTTTGACATGGTCTCCTACATTTCTGTTTCAAACCATCTGTCTGTCTATGCATACTTGCCGCGTATGTTGCTGTGTGTTTACCTCAGCATCAAAGCGAGGATCCTGATAGGCATCACTAATGTTCACGGGTAGTCCTGTGGATGCTACTAGCTCTGCAATACTGTTGTTGATGAGCCAGTCGGAGTAAGACGATTTCTCCATACTGTCTTTGAAACTAGGGTCAGAAATAAAAGGGGGAGATGTGAAAAGGAACAGAGCGGAAGAAACACTACTGGAACTCACACACACTCCTTTAGCTGATAACTTTGTTATCATGAAAATATATATTTTTTAGACTTTTTTATTGTATTCAAGTAAAAACGGTTTTATTCTCTTCTCGCAAAAAGGCCATTTTATTTCTCCTTGTGGACGCTCTTTTAAGTTGACTTGCATTTAATAAACTTCTCATACAGTATATATTCTGCTGCAGCTTATGAAGTAATGAAAAGTTAATTGTGTGATTGTCTTCCTCATTGCCAAACGCCCCCACACTCTGCCATAGAAACACCTGCATCCCTGCACCCATTCACATTAATTGCAGTTGGCTCTCACTGACTTTTTACCTTCACACATAACAAGGTAAATGTTTAGTGTGGCTCATTTTGTCGAGACACTGATGTCAGATCTTTTAGATCCCTTTGATATAGTGATACAGCTGTGTGTGGATGTGAAACCCACAGTGCGGCAGGGAATAAACCTTATGGATGTGATGGCAAGATGCCGTACCTCCTTTATGTTTCTTGCTCTCTTTGTCTTTTCATTCTCTCTTTCCTGTCTCACGTCTGTCATTTAGCTGCCATGGACAAACTAGCAGCACTCGCTCAACATTATCCTCCCCGTGGGGGCGGCTGGGGATTGTAAGGCACATTAGAAATCCTACAGTACGCTCGCCTTTTGACACCAAATTTATTCACTTAATTACACACATAAATCTTGCACAGCAGCCCTTGTTATTCAGATGTAATCCTTTAGGAAAAATAGTGTCATCACAGAGATACTACTTTTGTCATTTCAACTTGCAGTTCAGTTACTTGAAACCACAAACTTTATTGTTTATGACACTGAAAGTACAGTTTTGTGCCTTTTCTCATAAAGAAATATTGAGACAGCTCAGTAGGGAGTGTGTTTAGTAAGAAAGACTAAATTGGCCAGTCAAACAGATTGACATTCCTTTCATTACTACTAATTTCTTATTATTGGTATTTTTTGTGTTTTTTTTACATTTCTGTTGCAGTTATCACTACTGCCTTGTAGTGACCATATCGGTTATGGCAAGTGCAGGACTTGGGGGACAATTTGTCTTCTTTTCAGCATTGATGTTCATCCATAAACATCCCACACAATATTAAGCCTCGCTTTCTCCAGTCAGCCATGGCTAGCAGTGGAGAGAAGCAGCAAAACCCAATTAAGTAGGGCTCCTACAGTATGCCTTCTATTCAGAATCAGCATATTACTCCCACAGCACTACAGAATATTCACTTTTTATACTTCCCTTATTTTTGTCCTTGATGGAAGCTTTACAGATTCAAATGACGCTCTGTGCAGAATTTACAGATGCCGTGGTGCCAAAGGCAAGCAAAGGTGGAGATACAACTGTTTAGTACGAAGCTTACTGGTGGGAAAACGGAAGGCAAAGCTTTGTTTTTCATCAGGCCAGATATTATTGAGGATCAGAGTAGATTTTAACACTGAACATACAAACCTGCTTTCAGTGTCTGCACTACACTTAGGGGACAATAGCTCAAATGACTTGGTAAACTTCACCACCTGAAAGATATGAAAGGGAAGAAATCTCTAAAGCTCTTGGAAAAATTGCACAGAGAGTACATAGTGTTCACTGATAAAAATTGAGGCAGAAAGGAAGAACAGACATGCATGTGCACAAATGTACAGACAGATAAACACATACACAGCAGGGGAAAAACACTATACCGGTGACTCAATGTCCTCCAGCAACTGAACAGAGCAGCGCTCGCACTTTAGCAATGTCTGGGCCCGGTGCATGATCTTCCTGACAATCTTCTCCAGGTCAGTCTGCTCTTCAAACAGGTCATTGACGACCTCCAAGAGTGCCTGAACACGAGCAACAGAAAAAGACACCACTGGCATTACTCCCCTATCTGAACTACACGCTGCTGTAAATTCACTAACTAAGAAATCTGTCAACAGGTAATAGTGAAGACCCATTAAATAAAGATGTTTTGCCTCCCTCAGCTATAAGAGCATGATTATTATTATTATCCTTAAACCATAAAGCAACAGGATGTTATAACATGATTTGTTTCCACAGTAAAAGTAAATTAGGCCCTTTATCTAGCAGTGCCAATCCAATTCAATCCACAAGCACATAAAAATCATATGGTGTAAAGGGAACTCTCCTCATTTCTCTCCTCTATTCACTGTGCTCTCATCATGTTCTCTTCCATAACATCTCTTCCCATTCCCTAGGAAATTTAGATCATGGACCTGTATGCTGCACCATCCCCCACTACAGATCCAGAGAAAATGTCCATGCAGGGCTGCATGCAGCGCTGTGATCCCCACTGCAGTGGCAGCAAGTGGGCTGCCGCTGATCAATACTCAGCTTTTATGTCAGAATCAGGGGGAGGAAGTAATGGTGATCCCAGTGATGGGGAGTTTATAATCATGGCTGGCCCTGTGGCCCTTACCCGGCTCCTGTCATACTCCTTCCTTGAGGCGCGAAGAGTTGAGCATTGGAGATGGCAATACCACAGAAGGGCAGGTACATCTGCAGCACCTGTGGACATATTGACTCACTTATTCATCAAAGACCAGTAGTGCTAGCAGAAGTGTTTTTATGAATGGGTGCCCAATTTGTCTGTATCTGTATGCACACAAGCAAAGCAATACCCAGTCCTGCGCAGCGGTTTCACGCTAGTCCACAACAGATAGCAGTAACGTGAGCCAACAAAGGCAAAACGCCGCAGGGCACCTTTTATTTTGTAGCCAGGGCCGGCCCGTGGCATAGGCGACATAGATGGTTGCCTAGGGTGCAAAATGTCAGGGTGTGCTGCAAGAGAAAGTTTGTTTGGGACTGTGACCTGGATTTTAGAGTTGCTGAAGTTAATATGTGTGTAGATTTGCGGAGAGATTTCTGCTTGATCACAAGTGTTTTCAGTTAGCTTCGATTTCCACCTGCTGATTCAGGTCTCAGGGAAGGTAGTAAATATTATGAATTCTAATTAAATTATGGCGTTATTCTCGTAATATTACAACATTACGTTCTTAACATATCTGAGAACACGAATATGTGGGATGGATTTTGAATCTTGCCTACACTGTCAGGCCCTGGTTGTAGCCAAAATTTTATAACTGGTTGTAAAATGAAAGCCATTTGAAAAATAAAGCAAACAAAAAAGTGAGTAATATTTTCATGCAAGAAAAACTTTTTGAATGGGAACAAATAAGAAATGGCCCTTCAATGGCATCATTATTTGCTAGGACAAATAAATCAATTCAACTGACATTTTACCATTGTACTGAACAGTTTGAGTTACTGTGCCTTGTGTTGATAACATAAACTCCTTATTCTACTCATATTTTTTGCACATAAATAATGTGATCACTTGACGTGGCCTAATGACTGTAGTAAATATGTTCCCTAAAATCGAATCAACGTCTTACTAGTTTAGAATCAAACTACATTTCTTTCTTCCTGACTGTTGTTGATTCATAATAAACATCAATATGCAAGCACACTCTACAACTGCAACTGCATGCTATTAATACAGCTGTGATATAAATACCGGGGTTGAATTCTATGCGACTACCATTACTACACAATGTAGCCTTATCTGAGAGACACTCAGCCCCTGTAACATGGAATCAATAGAATTTAGGTTGTGTGCTTCCTTACTCTGCCTCTTTGTTTAGTAATCTATCTTTAGCATCTGGCTGCTGTGTAACCAATACAATCAGTACAACAAACCTACTAATATTTACCAGCCTTCAGCGCGACCTGAGGGTAGGGACACTACAACAATACATGAATGGGAAGTTACTCAGCTGTGGCTGCTGATACAGGGATATCTCTTTCACCTTTCAGAAAAGATCATGTATCAGTTACTCATCAGCCACAAATGAACACGTAACGAACAGAATCCGATAGCACTGTGTTGATCACTGGAAAAGCTTATACCTATTCAAAAATATTTGATAGTTCACAACCTTGACATAGGGACTCATTTTGGAGAGAAATCGTGCAGTTGAACATGCAGGAAATTAATAAACTAATATTGGCTATTTGCTTGATATGCTTTAGTAGAATATATAACATAAGTATCTTTTGGGCTTCTACTGCTGCTCTTACGATTGATTCACGATTTCACATGACAACTTGACAACTCTAATTGCTGGGGTCGTGATAACTATAGAGCTAAAAACAGCTAAATATCATAATTTAATGGGCATGTTGACTATAGCAAGCATGAATTGTTTGTACTAAAGACGGACTCCAGTGACAAAGCAGCAAAAGAATGAGGGAACGCATACATACACTGCTGGCGTGTGAAAGCATGCATGTTCATATATATAAACCAGATCCTATGGTAAAAGTTTAAACACAAAAAGAGCTTTGTCGCTCTTCAGCTGAATGGATGTGTTTCACGTTTTTTTTTTTTTTTTTGGCGTATTTTGAAGGACCACAATAGAAAGCCGCCGTTTGGCTCAATCATTCCTCAATGACTGTAACAACTGATGTACTGAGTTATAGTATAATAGAAGTGTTTTTTTAATCTTCAATCAGTGAACACCATGAATAATAAGAATTATTCTGCCCTGGCATGTTGCATTGAAGCACATATTCTGAAATGAAATCACTAAATTAATAACATTCCTAATCATAATGTGATATGAAATATTACTCTGCCATGCTAATGAGTACATTCACTTTGTGCCCTTTTTGCAGTCATTATACATAATCAAGCGCCTTATGCAGTTGTTTTCAGACATGGAAAACAGATGATGCTGAGTAATAAGCCCATGTAATGCTATTTCAGCTGTCCTATGGAATTCTCTAATAATGATCTTCCTGAGAGGCAGTGGCCATCAATAGCCCCAGCAAGAGCAGATTCATTAGTGAGCAGGACTTTGAGAATCTGGCTATGGATCTGCCTATGGAACAGGCAAACCCAAGAAAAGCACTGCTCCCTCTAATTACATTCTGTCAGGCAGGCCATTATACAAGGTTGCAGTACAAACAAGACATTTTTGCCTAAAGACCTGTGGAGTGACCAGTAAAGAGTGCTTTAATAAAGAAACTAACTGGCCAAGGCCTGAGGGACCTTCAGTGCCTCTAACCTCAATGACTTCCTTTCCCACAACTGGAATTTCATATGAGGCAAGCCCAGGGAAATTAACATAGCCCACACCTTCTTTCTCCACTAACCACGTGAATAACAACTGCTAGTTGATTTAAACGGCTGTGCTCACTTTGCATGTGTGGTAAGGTGAAGCCAGTGTTGTTTTGCCAAGAAAGGAATAAAAATTAAGCTCTCCATGTCCTCTGATCTCATATGGGACTCCTAGCTTGTGTCAGCAAAGCACATAGCAGTTTTGCAAATACACTTAGCAATGATATCTTCTTTTGAAGGTGACATCAAATATTTATGCAACAGGAATCTACTGTACACCTCAACAAATTTTACAGTAAAGCAAGTCACTGTTTTATATCATTTTTATCTGTATAAATAGTCAAATGAATGCCATACAATAAAAGACACTTCACAGATAAGGTGAAAATGAAGGATTGTGTTTCATCCCTTTAGATTTACAAATCAAAATTTCATACAACTAAATGTAGCATTTAATATATACTACATAGGATAAGAAAGGTACCAAGAAAAGTCACAACGACTAAGTAACGATGTTTATTATTGTTTATTATTTATTGATAGATATATTCTTGTGGCCAATATAAATGCTTGAAACTTAATTACACCGGATTTATGAAACTACAGACCCTTTTGAGGTTTTCTTGTACTTTGTAAACAAATTCTGACAAAACCTAAAATATATAAATAATAAATAAATATATCCTGTCTTTCAAAAGATGAACAGGAGAGAGCATAAAAATAAAGACTGACGTTTTGTATTTCATGTCAATAATTTACAACAAAGTCTTCCAATTCAGGACAATCTAAGTAGATATAGCTGTGACAACTGCAGTTTTTGAATATGAAGAGCATAATGTCACAAAGCAGCTTTGTAATCAATGAGGGTAACTTTGTAGCTCAGTCATAAATTTGAGACGCTAAATCTGTTGTGTCATCTATGACCAAAACAGAACAGTTTTCTGAAGGGCGGCACTTGTTAAAAGCAATGTCTCCATTAAACAGCGACAATGGGCTCTGCATAGTTCCTAATAGCATATACAATGTCAAATAATCCTTTCACTTTAAAAGCACACAGATTAAGCATTTGACTTGGAAGAACTACAACTGAACAACTGAAAGTGCATAGTTAGTAATGCTTAGACAGGTCAGGCTGAGACAAAGGCAAGGACTAAACTCAGTTCTTCCTCCAAGAACAATGCCACCATCAAACCCGCTTTTGATTGAATTGAAAGTTGAACCAGGGTGTTAACTTAGTTTTGTACACTACACAGCTGGTATCAGAGTGTTTAAGTGTAGTGTTTTTAATTACTTAGTAGTAGTCTTTAATAGTTTGTTCCTTTGTGTAACAAAATCAGTGAAGGTCAGTGGTGGTGAGCTACATAGGTATAAATTACTGTGATTTTAGTCTTCACTTAAAACTAGAAGTTCTGTGCTTCATGAAAACACCCTGATTACACCCTGGTACACATTTTATCTGTTGAACACACACATGTCCTTAATTATCCATGCTATCCTATAGGCAATAAAGCCAACCCATAATCATTATCAGTATGTGTTCTTGTTTTGAGTTGTCTCAGATATTGGTTTGTTGCAGTAGGAGTGAATCTCCTACTTTGGCATCACCCACGGGACAGTTTTTGGACCTTTTCTTTTTTCAATTTGAAGCTAAATGTTCTCTCTCTCTCTCTCTTGTAAATACAAAATGGTGTGAGCATTATGCCCAGTTGGAAAAAACTACAGTTACAATGCTTACAGGATAACAAGCAACAAATCAGTGTTGAAGTTGAAGACTCAATACCCAGCCCTTAATCACTCCATCATCCCCTCTATCTTTTCCATTTTATTTTTACTCACATATTAAAAAATACCTAATATTACAAATGCCGTTGTCATTACTTTTTCATTTTCTCTTGATTTCAGTGGAGTTGGGTGACAATTTGCTGTTACGGAAAGAACTTTGTAAAGAATCAGTTTGGTATAATACACTGCATAAATTAAATGAAACCTTCTTCTCTCTTCTTTAGCTGTAGATTTAGATTGGGTAATTGTGTGAAAGTAGTTATTATAATATTGCGTCAAGCCAATTTGACAGGGAGTTTGGCAGCCAGAGGGAAGCACAGCGGTGAGGGGAGAATGCTATTTGACAATCCACTCACACAGATGTTAAACTGTATTGGCAAATGAAACCTACATGGGGGAACTTGCATCTTATTAACAGAAAGTTCATGAAAATCTCTACCTGAATACATTTTATGTTAAATGTATTAAATATATTAAAAGATTCGCAAAGTGAATGAAAAGCTAAATCAAGATAATAACGCAAGATACAAAGACAGCAGGAAGAGGTCAGCTTATACACTTAAATTAAGTCAATAGCTATATTCCTCTACAGAAGATAATGAGACAATGCAATTATTTGTGGGTTGAACCATTATCCAAACTCCCCAAAGGACTCCAATCCTGCAGGGTAGCAACATAACAATTAAAGCATGTGGAATTTAAAACCAGCCATTTAGTGGGTTAAAATCCCGTAAGTTTCAGTATATAGAGAACGACATTTGTTTTAATAAAGGTACACAAAAGTCTCTAATGACATCTGCTATTGCAGTATCATTTAATTCTTTGAAAAGTGTGATAGGTTTTCTTATTACACTGTGTTCCATAAAACCAGAGCTGCAGCTGTGCTGTGCAGGGAGCTTACTGTGTTTTCTGCTGCTAGCATTGCATTTCATTACTAATTCAGCTGTAGCCATCCCAAGCATTAGTGTGATGTTAATTCAATGTGAAACGTACTAAAAACATGGGAAAGAAAAATGAGTCCTAATCTGCATCTGTTGAACAATGGATAGAGTCTAGCTTCACATACAACATAAATAACAAAAACTAGCATCATTTGCTGCAGTGAAATCTAAGTCAAAAACAAAACACAAGCTTGTTGAAAACAAGTTAGCGTTATCGGCTTGTCACCGCCTTCTGAGACATCTATTCAAGTGAGCCGATGATCTAAACACGTGCTCCTCATGCCTCTCTGATGGTAAGTCAAATAAACAATCATTCAGAAACAGAAGACTGACTGGATCAGTGCGAGATGTAACACCCCCACCTGCTGCTTTGTCATATTATAGTTGTATTATATTAGTTCACTAACATCTGTGTCTTTGTGTTTGAACTGCCAACTTGACTGATTTGTTTACAGACTGAGTTGATTCACAAAGGGGTAAAATAATAAATATTAGTTATCCATCAGCATGCATCAGTCCCTGTGGACAAATCAAAGCAACTTCTTTCCATCCATTTTTGTCCTGCACATACATTCACACCTAGAAGCCAGCTGGGGTCCCTCAAACTCTGCCAAAAGTCCTAGTTTGACAATGTTATCACTTTAGCAACCATTCAAAAATCACACAAATGGTGACACTAAATTAAAGACTGACACTGTCCCACTAAGCACACAAGTAAAGCACTAACCAGTTAAGAGATTCTGGTGGCATTACAACAGGGTCCTGGCCTTTGGAAGATATACTGCCTTAGAGAAGTTTGATGATGCTGAGCAACAAGCTATGACCTGGCTATACAACAAGTCAGACTGAGCTGGGCTGATTCAAAAATTAAAATTAAAATTAAAAACAACCAAAGGACAATGCACCTGACAAAGCTCAGATTCCACATCTCAAATATGTTATAGTAATTCAAATAATGAAGTAAAAACAAAATGGCTACAGAGTCTGAATATCAGGCCAAAAAAAGGTTCCTCTAACTGACCAATCAGTGAATGGAATATTTCATAGCATGTTCGATGCTTGCAGATGACAATAAGACAAACAAAATCCAAAATGTGAGAAAATAAACTTTTTTACATCAGAGAAATCCATCCTGTTTTTAATATATCTGCTTTTGCAAACGTGAGTATGACAGCATTGACAGCAATGAAAAATGACATCACTACAGCCCTTCTATGCTTGTGTACCACTAACACCACATAACAGTATTTGCCTACAGAAACACAGAGTAACATCCTTGAAATGAATCACAAATCCACACATGAATCATGACGTCTTTTTACTTCAGGCCTATTCTTTCCTCTACACTATACTTTATTGTGCTGCAATAATAACTAGACTAAGAGTCTAAAGCCATACTAGCATCACTGTAAAGCTTTACATGCTAAGGTCTGCATGACAACATGCTCACAATGACAATGTTGACATGCTGCGAGTTAGCAACTAATGTTCACCATGTTCACAATCTTAGTTTAGTGTATTAGTATGCTAACATCTGCAAATTAGATTGACAGGAATTTGCAGGTTCATTAAACAAAATATTGAACAACTTGAAATTTTGACCTGATGATGGCGCAAAAGGTCAGTGTATAACCAAATGTATTACAGTATTTTTAAACCAGTTGTGAAAACTAATGTTCAAATTTCAGCTGTCTGACATTTTTCCTTGTCAAGCCAGTCAGAGGACCACTAATGTGACCATGACCACCTGCCCCAAAAAGTATTTTCCTCTGTTTTGTGCTTGGAAAAGTTGTTTGATTCAGACACCCCAATGAAACAAACAAACAAAAACACCCAGTTTTTATACTCACAACTATAATAATGAAATTACCTTTTCATCATCTTCAGTGAAGAGATCGCCACTTGAGGACTTGTTGATGGCCTGAGCAACTCCAATGATCTCTCCGTCACTGTTGCGAATGGGCATGCACAAGAGTGACTTGGTTTTGTACCCTGTCAGTTTGTCAATTTCATCACTGAACCGACGATCCTGCAACCCGGGGGATAGTACAAAATAAAGACACAATGTAAGCACTTCTTTCCCTTTTTACTTTCAGGTGACAGGTGCAGTAAAATGTACAACTCAGCAGGACTCCATGTCTTACAAGCACAAAAGGTCTACAATGACGGCAATGTTATAGACAACTGCTTAATTTCCGAATTGCTCAGTAAAATTAAAACTGGACTTTTGTATGACTTGAAGAAGTGGTGCTCAGATCAGATGGCCACTGTATTTGTACATTAAAGCAATGTAACTGTTATTTCTATTACTCATTTCTAATGTAAATGTTTGGACAACCAAGAAGAAACCTGCTCAAACTTTTGAATTGGGGCTACTGGCATCATTAAGCAATTTGCTGTTCTTGCTGCTTTAATACGTCTAATATCATCTTATTTTCTTACTTAAATCAAGGTAAACACAGTGGGACTGCAAAAACATATTGCCTTATTTTTATTACTCAGTGATGTTTGGTGTGAATCTGTGGTTTGACACATGCTTTGGTTCAGCTGACTGTAGGTGTTGGTTCCCTGCTCTCAGCTCTGTTACACAGTTTGATTAATGATCAATTAATTGTGTCAGATAAAATGACAGGCTAAAAGAAAACGACACCCCGACACACACACACACACACACTTTTCTGTGACGCATGCAAACGCACACGCGCACGCATGCACAAAGAGGAGCGGGCACCTGATAAGCGTCAGGAATGTCACTGTCTCTCCGTGTTCAGCCACATATCCAATGATTCCTTTCCCCCACGGCACTTGAACTTCATCTGAATTCTTTGAGGGTAAAACTGTGGTACCCGCGTGCACGTCAAAGAATTTGGACACTAGTGTCTTCTTATTGCCCGTTCCCTCCACTAAAAACAAGGAGCACCGGTCTGCATCGACCATAATACAAACAAACACAAGGATTTTGTAGCTCAGACTCGTTAGATCCAGGTCGTTAGATATGTCTTTGACAAGCTCCAGGAAGAACTCTCTTTCATTGTGTTGTTTGAGGTAATATTTAAAATCCACTGCTGTGGACGGGTACTGGGGGATGTTGACTCTGGACTCCAGCAGTGCGCTCAGTATGTGCGCAGTGGTCGGGGGCAGAGAGCTCGCTTTCCTCAGCAGAGCTCTCCTCCTCATGCTCGTCAGGGGCTCCTGGGCCCTGGAATTAACATGTTCGTCGTATGTCCTGTTGACATTAATGGCCTTTGATCTGGCGAAAGTTTTGCGCAGCTCCTTCTGCGAGGCTCTCCTTTGCAGACCATCGCATTTGCTTGCCCAGCTGTCCTTGCACGCGTTGCTCTTCTCCTCTCTCGGCTCGGCGCGAGCTGCAGCCGCCGGACTTTTGCTCGCCTGATGATTCTTGAGCCATTTCTCCACCATGCTATAATTCCCCTTTCTGTTCAGGTAGTCCTCAAATAACTCAGGATGCGAGTCCAGAAAACTTTCCACGTCAGAGAACACCATATTTGGCACTGCCATGTCAGTTCTTCAGATGGCCCTCAGTGAACCAAATCCATGAAGTCCCGCAGAGAAATACCATCTATGATGTTTTTACTGAGAATTAAAGTAGAGAATCATGTGCATACCATAACTTCCTCGATGCATTATGCAGGAAACACCTCTGGGGTTCTGGCTACATACCCTTCCACTCTGTGAAGGATGGACTCCCTTTGCGCACCAGCATATTCATTTAAGAACATTAAAGCAAATCTAAGAAAAGCAGCGTGGAAGCAAATTGAGGCTCGCGCAGAGTATCACAGGGATTGGAAATCTCACAGAGAGCCACTACCGAGCATCGCCGTCGTATGGGTCTTCTTGTGTGCAAATGACGCTGGCTGTGGTTGGCTCGGTCCGCTGACGCTCGCTTCGTCACATAGACGGGAGCTCAGGGTTGCTTCAGCAGTCAGCCCTCTGGCCATTTGAACCGGTTGCCCTCCTTAGAGCGACTGATGATGCTGAGGATGATGATAATTAAGGAGAATTCAGCTGTCATCTTCACGCAGAATATATGATGCATAGCCTATTGCAAGCTAGCCTATATTAAGATGTAAAAACGGTGGACTGTCGTGGTGGATGTTTGCCCATTGATGGACATTATTTTCAGCAATGATTCAGCTATACTCCAGATTTAACAGGCGCAAAAGCAACGGCCCATGTGGGCGATAGATTTAATTTAATGAAATTATGCTTCAGAAGCGTCAAAAATACCAAATTCCTATGCATTCCCTGACAGGGCTTTGGCGATGGTAGGTTACTGCTGGCTGACAAGAGTTTTCAGTGAATGAAAATGTGTTTCATAGCATATAGATAGGCCCACTTTGACAATACATCTATTTCACAACCCCGCTAAACGTTGGCAAATGTGGAATCTGCAGTGGTAGGTCTAAACCTTGTTATCATG